GGGGGGATGGTCACGCCGCAATCCCTTCTCCTCCATTCTCCTCTTGGGATCTTGGGCATGCACGCACACGCGCCCGGCGTGAGTTTTAAGCCACCGGATCCGAGATTCAAACCGTGGTCGACTACGTGGGAGTCCAGTGACATAACCATTACGCTAACTGCTGGTTCCCATCTTTTTCTTTAAGTTTTATGTCTTCCATGAGGCAGGCAGGCAGACAAAGAGACAGCATCCCTAACAAAGTCCTGACATTGCAGTGTACCCCCGAGTAAGCCCCAGATCGTGGGCACAGCTGTGCTTGGCATGCAGGGAGGTTTCTGGATGTGAACCCTGAACATTCCCGGGGTCAGCCCCACCGAATGCTGTGTCTTCCTGCTGTGCCACTGCCCACCGGCCTTGATTAGTACAAGCGAGGAGTGGCATAGCGTATGCGAAGAGCTTGGCTGACACTGAAATGAACGCTGGTAAATGGCACCTGTGCTCCTCATTAGTGACTCGGGGCCCTCCTGCGAGGCAGATGTTCCCATTGGAACTACAGGTGTCGAGAGGGCCCGGGTGAGCGTCCTGGTCTCTTGTCCTCTTGTCAGTGCTCAAACTGAGAGCCGTTACTGTCATCCTCCCCACCCAGCCGGCCCCTGCTCCTCTCCGGATCGCAGGACTGCTCATACAGCCAGAGTAGGCCACGCCAGGGGAGGGCTGGGGGCCAGGGCTGGGGTCGGATAGGAGGCCCTGGTGTGCGTGCTCCTGTCTCGGTGGGGGCCGCGCTGTGCACAGGGCAGGCCTGAGCAGGCTTGTCTCCCAAAGGTACCTGAAGCACACCCTGGACCAGTACGTGGAGAGTGACTACACGCTGCTCTACCTGCACCATGGCCTGACCAGCGACAACAAGCCCTCCCTCAGCTGGCTCCGGGACGCCTACCGGGAGTTTGACCGCAAGTGGGTTGGGGCAGGAGGTGGACGCCTGGGCCTGGGGCAGGCAGCTGTGTAGCTGGCAGCTCTTTCTCATTCTGCACTGTCCTCTCCGTGGGCAGGAGCTTACCCCATGCCAGGGGGACACAGTTGTCTCCACCTGGGTAAATGAAGAGTCTGAAGTCAGAATAACCTGGCTTAAGTCCCAGGTTCTCCGCTTACTTGCTTTGTAACCTCTCTGAACCAACTATTTCCTGGTCTGTAAAAGGGGGCAGCAGTGGCAGTGCATCCCCAGCTCGCTGCACGCTCTGGGTCTCTCCTCCCACAGCCACCCTGAGCCTCCCGCTCGCCCCGCAGGTACAAGAAGAACATCAAGGCCCTGTACATCGTGCACCCCACCATGTTCATCAAGACCCTGCTCATCCTCTTCAAACCCCTCATCAGGTGAGCAGGCTGGGTGGGCCGGGGCACAGACCTGAGGAGGCCAGGCGTGCTGGGGACAGACTGGCTTAGGGCCAGCCTCTGCCTGGACGGGGTGGGCTGCTGGAAGGAGAGTGGAAACCTGCTGAGCTGGCCCGCCCTTGACCCAGGCCCATTCCTCCGTCCTTACAGCTTCAAGTTTGGGCGGAAGATCTTCTACGTGAATTACCTGAGTGAGCTGAGTGAGCATGTGAAGCTGGAGCAACTGGGGATCCCACGCCAAGTACTCAAGTGAGGCGGGGTGCAGGCAGCCGGTGGCCGGGCTGTGTGCAGCAGGGCAGGCCTGTGAGAGGGCATAGAACGAGCCGGCCCCCAGGGGGGACACCCAGAGGAGGCGAGTGGAATGACTCAGAGACAGCATGGGGGTCAGACCGAGCAAATTCAGATCCCATTTCTGACACTTAAAACACTGCGTGACTGGATCTCTGAAAAGTCTTTGTTTTTTTTCCATGTGAAAATATGATCTACAAAAAGTTAATGAAAGATGCTGTTATGAAAAACCTCTGAGCTAGGGCCAGCAGATGGCATAATGGTTATGTTGTTGGACTACCACGTAGCCGACTGCAGTTCGAGTCCTGGACCTGGTTGCTTAAACTGATGCTGGGTGTGTGTGTGTTTGCGTGCCCAAGATCCCAAGAGGATAATGGAAAAGAGGGGATTGCCGTGTGGCCATCCCCCTTGGGGGGGGTGGTTTCTCTCTTGTCTCTCTCTGTCTCTTGGGCAAGTGCACGCGCCCTATAGCAAAACTCTCTTTAATAAAAAACCCCTGTGGGGGGCCAGCAGGTGATGTGGTGCTTATGTGCCCTGGGTTCCCACATGGCCAACTGTGGTTTGAGTCCTGAACCTGGCGACCTGCTTTCTCACTTTCCCTCTCTCTCACCGTGTCCCTTCTGGTCAAATAAAAATAAATAAAGGTAAATAAAATAATTATTTAAAAAAAATAAAATAAAAAAAAATAAAAACCTCTGGGACTAGCAGGTGGTGTAATGGTTATATTGCTGGACTCCCATATAGTTGACCCAG